AGATTATGTCGGAGGGCTTGAATTGGATAGGGAGGAGGAGAGGGAAAATTGGAGAGAGAGAGAGGGAAAGAGGGAAAGAGAGAGAGAGAGAGAGAGAGAGGGGGAGGGGGAGACAAGACAGACAGACAGACAGACAGACAGACAGACAGACAGACAGACAGACAGACAGACTCTCTAAAGTGGTGTCGGTGGCCTAGTTGTTAGGCTCTCGGACTCGCAACCGCAAGTTCGTGGGTTCGAATCCTATCTGGGACCCGACTTTGTGTCCTTGGGAAAGGCACTTTACACGAACTTTCCTCACTTGTCCCAGGTGGGAATGGGTACCCAGCTGTAGAAAATGAAAGATCTTATCAGTTTGTCGGTGTTTGAGCGCTTAATCAGCTGCTTGCACTGTATGCTTCCCGGGAAGCTGAGAATGTTTCTGAGTGTTCTTTGCTGGGGTAATAATATAGTGTAAAGCGCATAGAGCTTGCTGTAGAGAGGGGTTATGCGCTATAAAATGCCATTTATTATTATTATAATTGTTATTATTTTTTAATTAAGCCCAGAAATTAATAACAGATTCGCGGTTCGCACTCGTATAATCTTTTGGTAGCCTATGAGAACAAAATGCAAAAGGCTAGGGATTTGCGCTATACAAATGCTATCTATTTATCTATCTATTTATAAATACATATTTGTTACTTGTGTTTTCTTTAAGAAATAGTGTGTCTAGAGAGTTTTTGCTAAAGAAATAACGTGTTTGGACAGTTTTTGCTCTCAATAAAAATCCTTTAGCCTTCTGATAATTCCAGTTGATATTTGTACAGATTTGAGGTTCAGATTATATTTATGTAGATCTATCTGGTTTTGTTTAGCTTTTTTGTTTGTTCGTTTGTTTGTTTTTATTTGTTTTTTGTGCACACTGTTAACACGAAATACATATTTTTGTCGGATTATAAGGAGAGACAGGGGTTCGAAGCATGATTCCATAATGCTTTTTCTTACTATTTTTTTTGCCTTTAATTTACTTTAATTTATTTCTTCTTTTCTTCCTTCGGTTTCTTCGGAATTGGGGGTAACAACGTGATCACGTTGAAAGCATTAAATACTGACATGTCTTATTTCCCCTTATCTGCAAGTCTATAATTTTTATTCGCAGGAATTTGTACGTATAATATAATTTGTAGGCAGTGCCCTGTGTCTACAATGATATTACGAGGTTACGAATATGATTTTCTTAAATTTACTTTTTATTTATTAAATTATTAACCTGAAGCGACTTCAGAAACTATCAGAAAGAGTCCTAGCAGAGAGCCAATGCGGTTTCAGATCAAACCGCTCAACAATGGACATGATCTTTTCTATTCGTCAGCTACAAGAAAAATGCAGGGAGCAAGGACTGCCATTACATACTGCGTTCGTCGATCTGTCAAAGGCTTTTGATACAGTCAGTAGATCAGGACTGTACATGGTGCTTGGAAAAATTGGCTGTCCCCCAACACTGCTACAGCTCATCTCATTCCACAAAGATATGAAGGCCACCATTCAGTTTGACGGTTCAACATCAAACAGTTTCAACACCAATAGCGGAGTAGAGCAAGGTTGTGTCTTAGCACCAACCCTTTTTAGCACTAATTTTGCTGTCTTACTGCAACACGCATTCAAAGAGTCACCAGGGGATGTCTTCCTCCACTGGAGAACTGATGGGTCGCTCTTCAATCTTGCTCGACTCAAGGCCAAGACCAAGATCAACAAAACAACAGTACGAGACCTTCTCTTCGCCGATGATGCTGCTCTTGTTGCTCACAGTGAATCAACCCTACAAACAATGATGGACCGCCTATCAACAGCGTGCAAGGTCTTTAGCTTGGTCATCAGTGTTAAGAAAACAGTCATCCTTACCCAAGGAGGTGCAGAGCAGAGCCATATATGACAGAACAACAAGGAACTTAAGACAGTGAACAAGTTCTATTACCTGGGGTCTACCATCAGCTCTACAACATCACTTGATATTGAGATCAACATCAGGATAGGGAAAGCAGCAACAACTTTTGGAAGGCTGACAAAACGAGCATGGGAAAACAAAAGATTAACCATCAAACAAAGATCAAGATTTACGAAGCGTGTGTCCTCAGCACACTCCTTTATGGATCTGAAACATGGACCTTGTACAGCAGACAAGAAAAGCGCCTAGACATTTTCCATCTCAGATGCTGCCGCAAGATCTTAGGCATTTCGTGGCGTGACAAGGTTACAAATGTTGAAGTGTTGGCACCGCAAACCTCCAGAGCCTGACAACTATCCTGTGTTTTAAAAGATTGAGATGGCTTGGCCATGTCAAGAGAATGGATGACAACCGGATTCCGAAGCAACTTCTCTATGGAGAACTTGCCCAGGGAAAGAGACAAGGAGGAAGACCAAAATTGAGGTACAAAGACATCTGCAAAAACAGCTTATCTAAGGTTGGAGTAGATGTTAACATCTGGGAAGAAATAGCTGGGTACCGGAAAACATGGAGGAAAATTATAAAGGAAAGAACAAAATGCTAGAGAACAACCTTAGAAACAACCAGGCTGAGAAGCACCAACGACGAAAGGAAAACAGCGGAAATACAGAGCTTCGATCTACGACACTGACATGCAAGCACTGCGACAGAATCTGCGCTTCCAACATAGGAAGAATTAGCCATGAAAGAAGCTGCATGAAGACAACCTTGACACCATTTTAAGCTAAATTGAATTGACCGTCTGCGTAGACGAAAAGAGCCATACGATGTTAAACTATAGTTATATTTCAAGGAATTATTTTCTTCCCTGATTCATCTAGCTAATTCATTTGGACCTGTTCATTGCGTCATATTTTTCCCCAGTCCTCTCACCATTTACCAATACATGTAGGCTTGTATTCTTTACATTTTTTGGCATAGGGGCCTCTATTATAACGACAAATACCAACGTAAATCAAGGTCAATGTAGCCTATAGGATTATAAAAATACGAGGCTTACAGTACATAATTTTTTTAAAGCTGTCTATAGGAATGATATAATTATACTTACACACAAAACATGAGCCTGAGTACATGTACTTGCATTTTACTCATAATTTTACGAGATCATTAGAATCTGATCCTACTATATTCTTATTGAAGAACATACGAAAACAAAGAGATAGCGTCCAGAAAGACAGACAGGCTTACAGATATTTAAGAGTCTCTGCAGACACACAGACAAATAGCTAAACAGACAGAATTGCAGACAGGCAGGCAAAAAAAAAAAATCAAAAAATTTTTTAATAGACGCACGAAAGGCCTATACACAATTGCATTCTGTGTAAGATCAAGCAAGATAAGCAGACAGATAAGCGACAGAGAGAGAATTTTTAAAAATATATGAAAAAGATTGACAATCTGGATCTAGAATCTATGACTCTCCCCATTTGGAACGGCTTTTATGGCTTCTTTTCTGTTTCTGTTGAAATGTCGACAGACGCTACCAAACGACGCGTAAAATAGCGCACAAGCATACGTCTACCGCATGCGGTTGTACAGGTCCTCTTAAATGTTGAATACATTAAAACTTATTCTCAACAGGTCTCATCTCTCCTGTTTAAGAAAGCTATAGTCTTATACAGTGATTCAATAGAAGAATGTGATCCAGTCTCTGGAGTTTTTGAGGTGAAGAAAGCCCTTAGTATATTCTGCCAACTCAAGAAAATCTAGGCAAGATCAGAGAGGGTTTACAGTATTACTGTAAACTCTATTGGCAAGATATGGGCGGAAACTTGATCCGAATTCATTGGGTAGGTCAAAGCTAGCCGACGCTGTCCAAACAAAGATTCTCTATTAGTGGAGAATCTTTGGTCCAAATGCGAAACACGTTCCCCAGAGCTATTAATTCTTACTCGAATTTTTTTAAAACGATATAGACACTGTGAAGGCCATGTCAGACGGCTGCATTTCCCCCTCGACCCCTGGAGGTACCAGAGAACAGAAAAAGTAAAAGTATAGTACATGTTAAAGACTTAATAAGATTAACCCTATCCGTACGCCCTGTGGTCATTTTGTAGCCCCGGGGTTGTATTCTTCACATTTTAGAATACTTCTAGTACGAAGATCTCTTTGAAACTTTCAGTATTTCTTTTAAAAAATCAATTTGACAGACTGCTATGCAAAGCGAAACGGATCGGATTAACGTGTACATTTCCTTTTTGGACAGTGGTGGCACAGAGTTGCTCACGTCGTATGGATGCAATAGTAAAACAAGACGTACAGATAGGGTTAAGACTTCTCTAAAAGATTGCTCCATTGATGTAGATTAGTGGGAAACACCTCTGTGTTGACTGATCACAGTGGCGTAAGGCTGTGAATTGCTTCAGCATTGAAAAAAAAGAAAACAAAAAACATACAACCCCCCCCCCCCAAAAAAACCCCAACAACAACAAAAAACAAAACAAAACAGCCAAGCAGTCAAATCCTGCCATTACGTAATGCTTGCCCAAAAGATCATTTTGTTTGTGGTAAATTATTCTAAAAAGAAAAGCGCTTGAAAGTTATAACAAGAGAAACTATATGAAGGTGTGTGTGTGTGTGTGTGTGTGTGTGTGTGTGTGTGTGTGTGTGTGTGTGTGTGTGTGTGTGTGTGTGTGTGTGTGTGTGTAAATTTGAGTTAATCATCTTGCCATTATTTTCTTATTTTTTAAAAGGTGGAAAGTCCTATATTATATGCATGTTTGTTAGGCCAAAGAGGAATTAGAATCTAATTACGAAAAGGGAAATAATTCAAATCAGACCAGTTATAAAACGTATTAGCTTAATTGCTTCCCTTTGTATACTCTTATGTCAAATTGTTTTTGTAGTTTACGCTTTCTTGTTCTAACAAATAAAATAATATCATTCATAACTTTGATACAAAAATTTGTGAAACTAATATGATGATCTAAAATGCTGTTTGATGGTGTACTATAATAGATTTTAGTGCTTGCTATTTTGTTTAAGAGTATTGGATAAGTGGGTCAAGCTTTTTTTAGTCACCAGCCAATGTGTTTGCCTGAAGACTGAAGAGTCGAGCTTGGTGGGAACGGATACTCTAGGCCTATAGACCCTATGACTGGCTATTGATCTAAACTGTGTGAATTTGGGTTTGTTATTTATTGTAGATGAACGTACTTGTTTTCTACATATGAATGAATCATTTTTAGGTTTATTTTTTTAAAGATATAGGTTCTTGTCGCCCTGCCTCAGCAACAGCGAACGCTGGTCGATAAGCCGCCGTGTCTTCAGCCTATGACTGTGAAGACGAGAGAAGTTGCAAAGCTCTGTGGTTGTGGTGGAAAGACGACGAGAAACGGAGGATTTCAGCTTTTCTGACGACAGCAGTACGGTATACTACATTCAAGTCTACAAAGAGTCGCCCTGTCCCTCGCTGTGTCGAGTATGGAATTGGTAGGCACTTCCCTTCGAAAAGCAGATTACAATTTCAGATCTTGAAGACCCACCACTCACCCCATTGCATTGGAACGTCGGCAACGGCAGTCGGCAGCCCGTCCGTCAGTCCGTCCCACCAGCAAAGACAGGAAAAAGATGGACGATTACGACCCTGCATGCCCTACAGAGTAAGAATTTTGTTCTTTTTCTGTGTTCTTAACTTAATTGCTAATTGGTCTACATCTAGGATAGTGTGTAGACTGTTGGTTTGAAGTGCTTTTCGATGAACACTACTGGGAGGCATTTCTTCAGGCAAACATTATAAATTGCCATGGCTAGATCTAGATCTCTTGATTCTAGATCTAGGCCTACACATGATACATGATGGCCGTGGTCCATGATTCCAATTCTATGACTCCATAGTAAGGTACAGGTAAGGTTTGGCCAAAGTCAAGGAAATGGACTCTTTAAAAATAGGCAGGCACTATTTGCAACGCCGCATTCTGAATAGCTCACGTGCTATGCCTATTTGAAACGCTGCGTTCTGATCGTAGATCTAGCTCCTATGCTGTTTGAAATGCCGCGTTCTGAATAGCTCCCATGCTATTTGAAACGGCAGTACTAACATCAAGAATTTTAGATCTAGATCTAGTAACATCGTTTCTAACATATAATAATGTTGTAGTTCTGCCTGAATTGTGGAAACTTTCAGTTTCTTCATGAACTTCATAGGATTTGACTCATTTTTTTATGACACTATCTTATTCCAATCAATATTGGGTTGATCTAAATCTAGATCTAGATCCTCTAGGTCTCAAATTGTTTCAGACATTGTTTGCACAAAATTAGTTCATCTCTCATAATAATTATTATAATCTTTTGAGTTTGAGCAAGTAGATCTAAGTCAAAAGACGCTTGGATAACAATTTAAAACAAGACGATGCAGCTCGGTAAGCACTATTTCCTTTCTGCAGTGTCATCATACACAGTGGCGGTGGGTAGTGAAGGGCTCACGGGCTTGAGCCCCTACCCCCACCCCCACCCCCCAACTCTATCCCAAAGTAAACGAAAGTTTCTCCATAATTGAAACTGTTTATGACCGCACGCAATGAACACAGTGTGATCAACTTGGCGGCTTGCTCGCTTATCCAATCACTGTTGTCACCGCTTACAACTATAGTAACCCAGCAGCCAATCAAATGTCTTTAGGGCTCAGCAAAGATGAGCCCTTTTCCCACAGCCTATCCTTAATGAAACTCTTAGATTCTTGTAAAAAGGTAGAAGACAGGGAAAAATTAATAACTCTGTACCGAGGGCTCACGCTCTCCTAGCCCTGACAATGGGGTGAAAGTTTACGACACACTTTCCCCCACTGACACAATGCGCTCACTGGTTCTTTGTTGGGTGCGTTCAACTTTCTCGACTACACGGCCTAATCCAGCTCATAGAAGTATTATGTTTGAAGTGCTGTGTGTAGTGTATATATATATGTGTTTGTGCCGCTGAGATTTAACAGTTATAAATCAGGTCGAACTACTTGTAAGGCAACTTTTTCATCACACGAAAACTAATTAGAGAAAATTTGGAGGTGAATCGGCTTCATCCCCACCATCAAGAAGAATTTAACTAAGAACAAAGAGATGGAAAACAAAGGCAACTTTTCGTTTTTGAATGGTACTCAAACTGCCGTGGCTCACCGTGAGTATAGAAAAATCATCACTGTTTAATTCTTATTGCTTGCTATTTTAGTGATAAACAACTGGAAGCAACCTAAGCCCCACCCAAATTTTGGTCCACCCACTGCCACTGGTCATACAATACCTAAAAGGGAGTGTATACAGACCCGGTAACCGGGAACAAAGTCACAACGAAGTGGCTAGCCGTACTTAAGTACGGCTAGACTGCCAGTCTAGCCGTACTTAGATCTAGGTTTGGCCAAATCGACTAAAACCTGTTAAGTACACAGGTCTCATTAGATCTAGATCTAGTAATTATTCAGGTTCAAATACATGAAAGTCAGTAAGGCACCTTTTGGTTTTGTCTGAAATACAAACTTTTGGCATTGCAAACTAAAAATTTCATTTACAATTCAGCCATCAATATTAAGTACGGCTAGCCTGACAGTCTAGCCGTCCTTAAGTACGGCTAGCCTGGCTGTCTAGCCGTACTTATCTTAGGCCCTATTAACATTAGAAAACAGGAGGTTTAAAATACATACACTGTCATTAAGGCACCTGGTTTCGTCTAAAATACAAATGCTTTAGGTACTGCACACTAAAAATGTATATTTACAATTCAGTAGGCCTATTTTTTGTAAATGGTCAGTCTAGCCATCATATTAAGAATAAGTACGGCTAGACTGCGAGTCTAGCCGTACTTAAGTACGGCTAGACTGCCAGTCTAGCCGTCATTAAGTACGGCTAGCCTCTTCCAAGTCACAAAGTATAAATTATAAAGATCCGGTAGGGGAACTCTTTTGTGATTTCGGAAAGTTTCAGCGCCCTCTTGGCTCAGGGTAGACCATAAAAATGTACACTACCAAGGCTCTTCTAGATCTATGGCCTAGGTCTAGATCTAGACAGACAGACATAAATCATTGATCTAGTTTCGAGGCTAGCCTAGATCTAGATCTAAATGAAGATTGCGGATATCTTTTCGATGAACAATCGTTTTTCCTCCATTTTGGAGTTGGAGGAATCACAATTTGAAGAAAAGAACAATGTCATAATTTCAACCGAGCAGTCACCCTCTCTATTTCTCTGCCATACCCCCCCTTCTCTCTCTCTCTGTGTATCGCTCGCATTCTCTTTTTCTTTGTTTGTCTCTGTCTTTCTTTCTCCCCACCTATTTCCCATTCTATCTTTCTCTTGTTCCCTCCTGCCAACGGGGGCATGTCATACATTTTGCTAGCACTCCCCCCTGCTCTCTCTCTCTCTTTTTCTCTCTCTCTCTCTCTCTCTCTCTCTCTCTCTCTCTCTCTCTCTCTCTCTCACACACACACAAACACACTACCGGGTCTGGGCGCTGAAACTTTCCGAAATCACAAAAGAGTTCCCCTACCGGGTCTGTATACTTCGTGACTTTGTTCCCAGTTACCGGGTCTGTATACACTTCGTACCTAAAAATATCTCTGCATGCACTTTACATTTTGCCATCACACATGACGTTGCCTGATCTAGGCTTCAGCGATTTAATAGAGGGAGGTAGTGTCTACGTTCCCTAACGTTGGGCCTAGAGAACGTAGGCTAATTAACAAGCTGTATACGTTCTCTAATGTTCAGTGCTTCCAAGCGTGGCATCGAATCCCGGTCCTGGAAGGTTTTTTTTATCTTGTCCTAAGCCTAAACTTTAAAAAACAATTAGACTCACAGACCAAGGAAAGCCACTATTTCAGGCCTAAATTGGTAAAAAAGGAAAAGTATACGATAGGTTTTAAAGCTCCTCTTGGGGACAAAAAACAGAAGTGCATGCTTCATCACTACATAAAAAACTACAAAATGGGAAAAAATTGTTGGTCGGTCGGGAAGAGGAGAAAGAAGAAGGAAAAAAACCTTCCACGACCGGGATTCGTTCCCATGCTCATAAAATAATGGTTCAACTTCAAACGCAGACGTGCTGTTCATTCGGCTATTAGAACTTCCGACAACGAAAGGTAGATTAAGCTTGATGATATTTAACACACAGCGTTTTATTTAGCACTGTCACTGGTGCTATCGCAACATGGCCTTTTTATTTAGCACTGGCTCTAATTGCTGCTACGTGACGTTGCAAATAGGCACTTCCTTAAAAATATGTTTACGAAACTGCAATGCAATTATAATAAAAGTAAAAGTGAAAGGAAAGTGAAACACAATGATGATATGACCTATGGTGATAGTAGAGGCCTCTATACTACTAATAGTCTATAGATTTTTTACTTTCTGCATGACATGAAATGAAAGCATTCTGGGTTTGGGTCTAGATCTATCAAGTCAAGCGTCTAGACAAGAAGTCCATAATAGTCTATACTATATTATGTCTAGATTCTAATTTTAGCTTAGTCTAGATTTTATTAGGTCTGCAATATAATGTCAGTAACGTACATCTAATATCTCAGGTCTAATGCCTCATTGTGGATGAACCTAGCCTGACTTAAGCTAAGGTCTGACTTTTCTAATCTATCTAATCTATCTATAATCATCATGTCTAAATGAAAGTCCTGGATTATATAACCAGGTAAAGCTGAAAATATTTGTTCTTGCTGTTCTAGTTCTTGGGTGTATTAGGGAAAAAATATTTGTGCAGTACATAGAGCCTGCTATAAAGCATTATGCGAGGGTAGGTGCAATTATTATTTGGCTCTCAAATTAGATTTTGAATGAATAATTTTTACTATTCCTCCTACTCAGTGAATAATTTGTAAGCAAGGGATATTAAATATATTTATAGATGTAGGCTGTTTTCTCTTTTTCAAATGGAGTTGGAAGCTAAGACCTAGAGATACTTGCTTTCTGCTGTAACCAACCTATGAAAATAATCATTGGTATTGTCCACCCCTTTTTAACTTTCAATCTTAGAGTAAAAGTACAGAGATGTCAAAATTGAATTAAAGTTGAGTAATTGTAATGTTAGCTAATGGTAAATTCTGTCCTACCAATTCTGAACCAAATACTTGGTGATGCTTTGTTTTTATGTATTTTGGCTGCGGCTGATCGGACTCGAGTCTGAATAGCCTCCTGTGGCTATTCGGACTCAAATTCCAGTGCGCATCACTTGGCAATCACTGAGTGTACTGGATGTGAAGCGGACAGGCAATTCGACCTTGGCCTTTCTCAATTTCTACGATCTGGCCAAAATTTTCTATTGAGAAAAGCATTAGTGACGTCAAGAGTGAACAACAGTTGCAAAATCTGAAATACTACCCATCAAACAGGGAAACGGCAATCTTAGCTCAATGCAGTGAAAAAACCCCCCTGAAAATCAAAGTTTCAGAACAACAAAGGATATGTATATATATATATCAATAGGTAGCCTAAACCCGCTTATTTTTATTTGACAAGAAAGACAAAATCATTGATCAATTGGAAGACCAGTTAGTAATTAATAAGAGAAATGTTAAAACCCTTCCAAAGGGAACAAAAGTCGGTCATTCAAAGTAACAAAGGAAAAGCTTTTCCCACAGCATACTTTACATGATGTTCAAATAAAA